TCCTGGCTAAAGCCTATTTATTTCACTTTCTGCTCAAGCGTTCACTCTCAGAGACGTCTTAGGTTGGTTTGTTTGTTTATTGTGCTTTAGGTGAAAGTTTACAGGGCAAATTAGTTTCCCATTGGATAGTTTGTACAGAAAGTGTTTCATGACCTTCGTCTCATTTCCCACAATGTGTCAGCACTCTCCCCGTTTCCACCCTGGTTTCCCCATTTTCTTTCATCCTTGATTTTCTACCCCTTCCTGCCTTCTTATCTTTGCTTTTGGGCAGATAATTCTCTTTTGATCTCCTACAATTGATTGTTCTAAGGAGTACCTCCTCTCGGGTGTTCTTGTTTATCGTATGTGCTTGTTCATTGTTTGGCTGGGAGGTGGCCTCTGGGAATGGCTTCCTTTCCAGGTCAGAAGGGTTTCTTAGGGCCATAGTCTTGGGGGTTCCTCCAAATTTTTTTTTTTAATCTCTGAATGATTTTAATTTTCTTCTATATGCTTTTAAAATATTATGAATTATTTAAGGTATAAAGACATATAAAGAATAATTTAATAAACTCTGATGTATCCACCACACAATTTATTAAATAAAACACACTGATGTTGTCGGAAGGTTCCTAGGTCCTTCTCTATGATCATGATTTTATTTATTAAAGAGAAGCAGCAACTATGAATAATAAGGAGACATCTAGTGTTTTAACGACTAAGCCTTGCTAGGGGTTGGAAAGGGCTATCCTATGTGTCATCCTACACAGCAGACAGAGCCAGAAGCTGAGCTTCTCAGGGCTCAGGGTGGGGTGGGGCTGTGGGGAGGGTCCGAGGGAGCTGTGACCAGTAAAGCAGTGAACAGCCGTGACAGGAAGAGGGCTGGTTTGCTCAACCTCTGTCCATGTCTCCCTCTCATGTGTCCCCACACTGCAAAGGTCTGAATGCCAACCATGGTTCTCAGACTCCCTTGGAGCTAGAGTCTGGATGTGAATTAGGTCCTCTAATTCAAAGCTCTCCAGTGAGGTTCGGAGCCTGAAGGGAGGCAGATGCCATTTTCCTGTTCCTTGGGGCTGTGGGGTCTGGGGAGATGAGGTTTTCTCCTGGACAGTTCTGTGGGTGTCGGGAGGCTGTGAGGACAGTGGCTCTGGGATCCCTGGGTTGCAGCTTCAGGGGTGTGTTCTTAAACCCCAGACTTGCAGGGGTAGTGTACTATTTGTAGGTCAGTTCTTTAGCGTTCTGGGCCCAGCCTGGGGCCTGCTCCTCCAGCCCTCCCAACGTTTTTCTAAGCATCTGCTTTCCTGCATTAAACCCTTTTCTGCCTAAAGTACCCAGAGCAGAGTCTGCTTCCAGAAATGGGCCCAGATACGTAAGTGTAAGAGCTGCAGTCTGCGACTCACCGTAAACAAGGACAGGGACTCAAAGACTAAGAAGGGGACACAGCCAGGAGGGATGTGTGGGAAAATGTCCAGCTGGCAAAATCTCCACAGGCTCTGCCCAGACTTGGGTTTACCTAATAGAGTACCACAGTCATTCAACCGACCAAAGATACGATTAACAACAACAGTGATAACGAAGCTATCACTTACGCAGCACCCACTATGTGCCAGGCATATTCTGAGTACTTTAAAAACATTAGCTTATTTACTCCTTAGAACAGCCCCCCAAGACAGGTACAAATATCATCCCTATTTTATGGATGAGGCTGAGTGGTTGACCAAGGCCCACAGTCCATTCTTTAACCACCGTGTGCTGTTGTCTCCAGCAATAGCTGCCCTTTATTTAGTGGCATGTACCAAGTACTTTCCACGGACTCTCACTCACTTCTCACAAGAACCCTATGAGGCGGAGCTATATTGTTCCCATTTCACAGATGAGGAAACTGAGACCCAGAGAGAGTTATCGATTCGCCCAAGATCACAGGGCTGGCGAGCTGCTTGTCTGATGGCCTCCGAAGCCCAGTGCTCACAGCAGCTAAGCACCACTGCCTGAAAGAAAGCTCTGTGGACTCAGAGGGGCGGTGCGGATTCTCAGCTCTCACCCGGGGCAAGGGGAGGGACGTGTGACAGACACACGCAGACCCAGCAGAGCCTTCAGCTTCTCTCCTGAAGACGAGAGAAGTGCTCACCCCACACTGCAAATCACTGCCCACAACTCCTACCAGGCTTGGAGAGGTTCCTTCGAGGGTGGTGGCCAACTGCCCTCCTCTTTGTCCCCCCGGTGGTGCACGCACCCACCTTCCCGACCTCTGTCCCTCCAGGGGAGGAGGGCCCATTTTTTCCTTCTATCCTTTGAGGGGGCCTTCTGGTCACTCCCTGATATGCTGGACAGTTTATCCTTTTTTTCCTGGCCTCATCCAATCATTAAAACAACCAAACAAAAAAAGCCATATTCTGCTTCTGATTTCATGGTTCCTACATTGTATCCTTTTCTGATTCACCATCTTTGCCCCTAGAGCTCTAAACGCAGGGCCTGGCCCTCAGCAGGTGCCCAGAAGAACAACTGCTGAACACCTGAATGGCTTGTCTATTACCCCTCAACAACAGTGCAGACCCCACTTAGCTCCTGTGTAGTGAAGAATTAACTTTACCTGAAGAATTGTCTGGCCTTTGTCTTGGCTCCTGCAGGTTAATCTCTAAAACCTGTCGCCATCGAGTTTATTCTGACTCATAGTGACAGTATAGGACAGAGTCGAACTGCCCCATAGGATTTCCAAGGCTATAAATCTTTATGGAAGTGGACTGCCACATCTTTCTCCTTCAGAGCAACTGGTGGGTTCCTACCACCAACCTTTCAGTCAGCAGCCAAGCACTTAACCACTGAGCCACCAGGGCTCCTTGGTTAACCTCTAAACCCTTGGAATTCCTGAGCGATAGGAGTGATGGTCGGTCCCTAGGTCCATTCCTGATAGTTTAACAAGATGATTCACACTCCCATAGTCTTAGGGTGGGGGCTGTTCATGCCAGAGAAACCAACCATGTGATTAGAAGGTTGGGACTTTGAGCCATGTGATGTCAGCAAGACCTCTGTGGAGAGGAGAGGGCTAGAGGTTGGGTTCAACCATGTGGGCAATGAGTCAATCAATTGTGCCTACATAATGGAACCCCCATAAAAACTCTGGACACTGAAGTTTGGGTGAGCTTCCCTGGTTGGCAATATTCTGTGTATTATCACAGAGCCATGTGCCAGAAGGGTAACACGCCCTGAGGACAAAGAACCTTTGTGATCAGGACCCTCCCAGACCTCGCTCTATGAGTCCCTCCCTTGGGCTGGTTCTGATTGTCATCCTTTTGCTGTAATAAAACTGTAATCATAAGTATAGTGCTTTCCTGAGTTCTGTGAGTTGTTCTAGTGGATTACTGAGCCTGGGGGTGCTCATGGGAACCCCCACATTTGTAGTCAGCGGATCAGAAGCGAGGGCCATGGGGGCCCCCGAGCTTGCAGCTGGTGTCTGAAGTGAGGGCAGTCATGTGGAGGACTGTGCCCTTAGCCTGTGAAGTTTGGTCCAATCTGAGTACCTTCCCTTCCCTCCCCTCCAGCTCTCCCTCAACCTCCAAAGGCTTTGACAGGTGTGACGTGTATCCCTGACTTCCCTCAAGAGCCTACTCTGCCTCATTCCTCCAGGGTGTTTATGCCCCTCGAAAATTCACTCCTGTTTTAATTTGACCTTTTCCTCAAGAAAAGAGTGTGCACCATTTTACGCCAAACGGTAGTTAATAGGGCTGCAAAGTCTCCACCTATCCCTGAAAAAACCACCTGCTCTTCTCATAAACGCTCCCTCGGTCCCAATGGAAGGATCCTAACTACAGCCTAAGGATCTTCCTGATACAATTATCCAGATTCTCTCCTCCACGGAGCCCAAGACATTGTAGTAAGATCCGAAGGACAGGCACAACCTTAGCAATAAATGTTTCTACAAGATCCAGAGGAAATGAGGAAGAAGAAGAAGGTCAGAAACCAAGGAAAGGGAACTGGAGTGGAAACAGATGCTCTGGGTGAAAAAAGCAGTGTGTGTTCTAGGGCACAGGAACACCGCTGCGCTGTGAAGCCCTGTTCTTCAGAGGTGGAGACTGTCATGAGGCAGAAGAAGCCACCGTGCAGGGGCTGTGCATCTGAGTGAGTGGTGGGGCCCTGCCATTTACTGTTGGGGTGAGGTGATGTGTACCTCACCAGCTTCACACCAATTAGATTAAAACCGGTGGGTGGTGTGGCAGTGACAAACAGAAAGGATTTTTAAATCAATAAGATTGTGGTTCTTTTTCCTACTTCGCTGAGGATGTATTTAAGTAAAAAGTGGCCGTTCCTGAAACTTTGGGACAGACACACTCTGCCTAGGGCCTGCCTATTGTTAAAGATCTTATGAACCTACTGTGGCCCAGCCTAGATGCCCTGATGGCACCTGTCTTGCTCCAACGACCTCAGCCTGGAGGAAAGACTCACCTGAGAGGTAAGACGAGAGAGAATCTGTGCCCGTTACTTTCCTCCTACCCAGAGAAGGAACCCCAGATCAACTTTTCCACGACAGGATAGTTTCCAAGATACCACCCATACTTGGAAGAAGCCAGGTTGAAATTCCATTCAAGTCAAACTTTCTTGATATTACTCTATCTTTCCCCAGGAGGACCGCCCTAAAGCAAATTCGGACACCTGTGGCCTCTTCCTTCTATGCAAAGTAAAAAGCCAGCACCAACCCCAAGCTGATAAGATTAATCTAAAGAGCAAATTATGGTGTAATTTCCTATGCCGAAACTTTGTAGTTAATTTAAAAAAAAAAAAAAAAAAGTTTCATTTTCCTATTGGTCTGATTTCACAGGAACATTTTACCTGTTTCTGTGAGGCATTTTTTTCTCCTGGAAGAGATGTTCTGATTGGCCCCAAAAGAATGACAATCTGGTGTAATGAAAATTTCCAATGTAAACTCATTTTCCCTTGGTTTCAGCAATTTTAAATCTATATATAGAGATATTTTTGTCAGAATTGCATTGTTAGCTTCTCCTGGTAAACTAATTGTCTCACATTGCCACTGCAAATAGAGATCTATTCATGGGTCTCACCTTCCAACTGATTCCAACTCTGTTGTGCCTACTAGTATGTACCAGCAACTTTGTCCACGGCCAAAAATGTGGTATTACCTTAAGAGAGATCATCAAAACTTTGAACTTCCTCACAGAGAAGAAGGTGAGTAAGCTATCTAGCACCATCTCTCCAGATCTTCTGGTGAGTTTTGGTTATGCTGTGTGTATTTCATAGACTATAAGAAGAATGTAACGACTTCTAGAAAAGTTGGTAGCTGGTGGTTGGTGCCAGGGCAGGGACCATAGCTGAGAATTCTCTCCCCTGGCACTTTCTTCAGAGGGCTTGTAGGAAGTTTTCTCAGTTTGAGGGGGTGAGAGATGCTCATCGAGGACTAACTCTGTCTCTCGCTCTCTTGTTCCTGCCTGCGCCAAGCATGGGTGCACCGAGTTGACTGTAGCAGACGCCTTTGCTGCCTCGAAGGTAAGAAGCCATGGTATGCTTTAGCAGTTGGGTAATTTGGGAGAATAGAGCCATCCAGTTGAACAAGAAACTTCTGTAATGGAAAACAAGAAGGCCTAAATGAACTACAAGGTGTTCAATGTTTTCAAAGAATGAGAATTCTGATCTTTAATCTCAAGCATGTTTTCGTGTTTCTGGTTTCACTTGCTTTAGAAGATGTGTAATAGAAATCTTGGATTTTGTAATCCTAATTCAGATCCTGGTCAAGGAAAAGCCATGCAAGGTTTTTCCCAGCCCCTGGCATAGTACCCAGAACTCAGAAGGCACTCAATGAATGCTTGTTGAACGAGAGAATTTTTCTGGCCCATATGTTTCTGAAAACCCAAACCCTCTCACAAAAACAGATATTGAGATTACAAGTTGAAGGAGCTTTCATTTTGTCTAAGAGACTTCCTATGGAACAGAACAGTTATCGCCAGAGCCCCTCCTTTCCTGCAGCGGGTCACTGAGAGCCCAGCGGGCTCCGAGACAGCTGTCCAGAGACTCCAACCTGCTCTGTCCTGCCTAACTCCCCCCAGTCTGCTCCGGAACCATCCTGTTGGACCAACTGGCCCTGACACATCCCTGCTTCTGGCTGCTCGGGCATCTCATCTTTCCGCCCCCTGCGCCATCTCACCCCCGCCCCTCTATCTGTAGTGGGAGGAGATAGATTTGACAGCTGATAGTGCATTTTCTCTGACAAACACATGACTACAGCCATATCAATAGCTTTGTGCTCTTCAGTTCCTGTTTTCATGGAAACACACGACTGAGAATGAAAGCCCCAAAGCCTCAATGTATCAGTGGTCCCCTAACCACCTGCTTTCCACGTGTACTAGAGGGGGTGACTTGGCAGGGTCACACTCCGGGACCTGGCTGTAGAACAGGGCCCACCCTACTTGGTGAGGGAAACTGTTCTTCAGGTTTTTATCTGGACAATCTCATTTCATTAAGGATTCTTTCAAGATATGAAGGATAAAATTATATATATGTATATATATGTATATATGTATGTATGAATGTATATATCTATGTAGGTATGTATATACATATGTATGTGTATATATATGTATATATATCCCTGGGAGGCGTAAACGGTTTGAGCTCATCTACTAACCTAAAGGTTTGTTGTTCAAACCCACCCATGGCACTGTGGAAGAAAGGCCTGGTGATCTGCTTCCATAAAGATTACAGCCAAGAAAACCCCATAGAGCAGTTCTATGCTGTAACACATGGGGTTGTCATGAGTCAAAATTGACTCAATGGCAATAGGTATATTATATATGTACATAATTATATATATGTACGTAAGTTGTGTATATATGTGTATGTGTATATGTGTGTATACACATACACACACACACATAAATATAAACATATATACATATATATGCACACCCAAGTCCTTCCAACCCAGATTGTACCTTCTAGAAGCTGAGTCCACGTGTGCTGTGCTCTGGATTCTCCAGAGGGGGAGCTGCACTGCTGAGAGGGCTCTGCCACAGCCAAGGGAAGCCACCTGCCAGCTCACTGGCTAGGACTGGCCCAGAGGAAGTGCCCAGGGTCTGGAAGTAAGACAGCAGTGGTTTTAGCTCCTTTCTGCCCTTTACTTGCAGTATGGGCTTTGACAAGTCTCCACACCTCTTTGTGCCTCGGTTTCCACATCTGAAGATATGAAAGTGATTTTGAAGATTGGTTGGAATCCAACGCCTGAGTTAGTGGAAGATGTTATAAGATGATATAACCCTTGATTAAAGGCAAAGACGAGGTGTAACGAAGCAGTGATTTTAAGGAGGGGGCGGTTGTTTGAGATGATCAAACCCTCCAGGATGACGACTCCAAGCCTGGGGCTACCCCTGCTCTGGGCTGTCTCTAGAAGTGTCCCCCCGCCCATGCTCCCTGCTTCCCTCCATCCTTGGCTCCCTTCTTCACGGGGTTCTCACGTACCTCCCTCACCACACACACAGGCCTCTCCTAGAACAAGCCCGCGCTGCCTTCCTTCACTCTTACTACCTCCTACGTTTTCCCCCAAACTGCTGCCACTTCTCCTCTCACACTCTTCTATTTTTTTTTCCTTCAAAGACTCAGCACTGCTTATTTATTAAGATATTTCAGAACAAGGAAAGACTATTTATTAAAAATTGCACAGGTGGTATGTGGGAGGAAAAGGCACTTCTTTGTGTTCACAAAGAGGACCATCTTTCCAAAATCCAGTGTATTCATTTTATTTCATTTGGGGATCAAGAATTCCAGTTTCTCCAAGTGGTTAACCAAGGTAGCATCCTGCTCTTGGCAGTTGCTGGAGAATGTGCTGATCGAAATCCTGGGCTTCATAGGCAACTCCCACCCAGCTGTCTATGATAGGAAAGCCATATGAGGGGAGAGCAAAGTGAGAAGCAAATGGACTGGCTCATCTCTGTAGAGTATCTTGGGTGGACCATTTGTTGGTGGTATTTCCTAGTTATCAAAGAGAGCTAAAGCCCATAATGTTTCAGAAAGCTCATACTGACCCTCAAGCAGTTTTAAGTCAAAGTAAAGAATTTTCTCATGTATAGCACTGGTTGATCAAGTTTGGGCACAGTTAGAGGTGAGATAATGAACACAACACAGATGGAACTGGATTTTTATGGCCTTAAATGAGGCTAGTTGAGAATCAAGTTAGAAGAATGCTCCCAGGCACTGGTCCTCCGTTTCCAGAAATTCCAGCGAGAGGCAGCCTTCCTTCCGGCACCGGCCTAGGCCTTCTTTTGAGTCTCTTTTTCCTGAGCAGTTCTGAACTGCAATGTCTGCTAGGCTGTCAAGTGTGCTCCCTGAGCCACTGCTGGATACCTCAGGAGCAAGAAGTCGACAAGCAGATGAGAGCAATCTGAGCAAGAAGCCGAGGGTGGCATGGAACATCGTCCTTTTGCTGCGATACAAATGGAACGGAAATGTTAAGGCTTTTAACTAAATCTGCTTTTAGACTTAGTTCTTTAAAAGCTTTTCCATCTGATGCAGACTCTTTTCAATGCCTGTATTATCATAATTACCTTTAGAAAGTCCTTTGAAAAATATCTTTAGAGGTTTTTTTTCCTATGTTACATGGCCATAGGGAGCCCTGGTGGCACAGCGGTTAAGAGCTACAGCTGCTAACCAAAAGGTAGGCAGTCCGAATCCACCAGCAGCACCTTGGAAACCCTGGCAGGGCAGTTCTACTGTCTCCTATAGGGTCACTATGAGTTGGAATCAACTCGATGGCAATGGGTTTTACGGGTCATGGCCGTATACTGCTCAAACTAAGAGGCAGCTTAATGTCTAGGCCAAAGTTTCAGAAGTCTCGTTAGGCATTGATGGGAAAATAAGCAAAAGAGTTCTCCTTTTGGACCTCATTGCTCTCTATACCGCGACACGAGTGCACACCTACGTCTGATATACAGGTAGCGTCTGCCCTCTAGTTGGTCCTCACCACCTCCACTCACCTGCAAAGCCCAGAGAGCCTGGTGATTTAGGTGAGGTTTCTCGACTCCCAGAGCCCAGAGATACTGGTACCACTCGTAAAGTTTCAAACAGAAGTTTCCAAGCAGGGACCGAGAGGGACTCTCAGCCAGTTTGATAAGTGCATGTGCTTCCAAAGGCCCTGCCGCCGGGCCACCAAGCCCCACAGGGCAAAGGGGGACAAGCTCTTGTGGTCTGGGGCTCTGGTCTCTCAGCCTGGTTCTAGATGTTCCTGAAAAAAAAAAATTAAAATAGGAACTGTACTTTTAGAATTTAGCCTAAATAAATAAGAGAGGAACACAAGGATTTATATAGGAGATTATTCACTGCAGCATTATTTACAGAAGAAAAAACTTGTGCAGCAATAGGGGACTGACTAGATAAATTGTGGTACCAACATACAATGGGTTTCTATGTGGCTCTCAATCCCATGTTCTTAAAAACTGTTTAATAACTTAAGAAAATGCTTGTAGTATATGTTAAGTGTAAAACAGTAATGAAACATTGTCTATAATTGGTCTTTATTTTGAAAAAAATAATGTATTATAAAACCTGGGAATATATTTACCAAAATATTAACAGTATTTATCTCTGAGTGATAGGCCAATGCATGAATTCATCTTTGTTGAATATACATTATTTTTATACTAAACATATATTACCTTTATAAACAGAAAGAAAAAAAAACTTACGTAGCTGTAGAACTTTAAAGCTTCTTGAACAGTTCTTCTCATGTAAATCCCCCAGGGCTCTTGTTACTGCACGCTCTGATTTGGTAGAACCAAGGAGGAGCCTGAGATGCTGCATTTCTAACAAGCTCCCTGGGGGTGCCCGTGCTGCTGGTCCACAGACCACACTGAGTAGCAAGGGACTAGAGCATGCATGCCCTAGCTAGAGAGAGCTTTCTCCATCTGAGCTGGATGAGGCTCATCATCAGATCACTCTCTAGGTTCTGTGTCTTTGTTATTCAAAGGCACGTGGAAAATTAGAGAACACACCAGGCCTGGTTCAGACTGAGACAATCCTCCCATGTTCCCTAGCAGGAGATGTTTCCCTGCTTGTACCTTGCCCCTTCCAACGCCCAACATCCCCAGGAAGAGCCCATGTGGTCAGACCCACATCAGCACTGCCAGCATTCCAAGGAGGTCCTGACCCTGCACCATTTGAGGCCAATGATCCCTCATCAAACCCTGTCCAAAGTCCATCCAGCTCAATGGCTCCCTCTCCCAGAGGCCTCTGTAATCTCTACAGGCAAGACTCCTGAGCATCTTGCCCAGAACTGGGCATTCGCCTTTAGCTTTGTAGGGAAATGTCTTCTCTCCTCAATGGACCATGAGCTTCTACAGATAGTTCTGTCTCCCACGGAGCGTTAACTGGAGAGTGAATGCTGCCTAAAGCAGCCATGTTCAGGCCAAAGGATGGCATTCATTTATTCAACAAGCATGAATGATTTCAGGGAAATCTGGACTTTAACGCTTACAGGCATGGCAGAGAGCAGAATCAGACTAAGAGCTCATGTGGGCACCTTCCACAGGAAGAACAGCACAGAAACAGACGCGGGCTGTGGAGACAGATGGTCTGCCATTCAAATCTCCACTATGCCACTTACCTAGTTGGGTGCCTTTGTTCAGGTACCTTAAGTTTGCCCCTCAGTTTCCTCACTTGTAAAATAAGGATTTAGAAAAACGAATCTTACTGTGCATGGCTATTGGCCGGTCTGAAGGAGACACGTAGGTAAAACACCTAGCATAGTGCTTGGCCTTTATTGAGTATATGCCACTTAACTGTTAGTGTCCTTCATCCCTGCCATCCCCAATCTGCTCTGCTTCCAAATCCTAGACAAACACACTCCTGGTTTATCTAGAATTTCTCACTAGTAAAGGAGAGAAAGAACTTTTACTTCTGTGTTCAAAATTAAATCTAAGGTAGCTGAAGATCCTTTCAGCAAAACCCTCTAAGGGAAAAGAGGTTGGGAGGTTCTGAGGAGACAGTTGCTATATGTGTAGGTAATTGGGAGAGGCTATTCACAGAGCTTTATGACTAGACAGCTGCCTTCATTCATGAGGCTGGAATACTTGAATACCTGATCCATAGTTTAGCAAACTCACCTTGTCCAATTGTCCACTTGGAAAGAAGAAATCAGGAAAAATCTCTCTCCTATGATCAAAATAGAGCTTACACATGACTACCTGTGACATTTCTCTTTCTAGAATACAACCGAGAAAGAAACCATTTGCAGAGCTACGACTGTGCTTTGGCAGGTCTATACACGTCACAAATGTTTTAGCAAATACCTGAGAGGACTCAGAAGAAGCCTCAGCAGCATGACAAACCTGGTAAGCTGCATTATGCTGACAGCTTAGCTCCTGATTCTCAACAGCCTCACTTCTAACTCTTCTCCCTTATTAGTTTTATTGTCCTAGATTAATCAACCCATTCATTCACTCATTCAACAAATATTTATTGAGGCTCTACCAAGTGCCAGGTGCTGTTCTAGGCACTGGGGATAAGACAAGGAGGCAGAGTTCCTGTTCTCATGGAATGTTCTAGTGGAGGAGTGACAGAAACAAAGTATGTAATATGATGTCCAGTAGTGATAAGCATTATGAAGAAAAATACAAGAATAAAGAACATAGGGGACATGGAGGAGGGGGGCTGATTTAGGAGTTAGTGACATCATCTGAGTAGATACCTGAAATAAGTGAGGGAGATGACCATGTGACCAGTTAGAGAAAGAACATTCCAGACAGAGGAAACAGTTGTACAAAGGCCCTAGGGTGGAAATGAGCTTCATGTATTCAAAGATCAGGAAGGCCAGTGTGGCTGAATTGGTGGAAGGAAGGGGGAGTTTAGGAGAAGGTTGGATCACACAGGGCCTTTGGATTCTGCCCCAAGTATGGTGGGAAGCACTTGGAGGATTTTGAGCAGGGCAGGGACTACAATCTGATTTATGAGATTTAAAATGATCCCTATGACTACTGTAGGTAAATAGACTGAATAGGGATAAGAGTACGAGCAAATGGCCTGTGGGTGAGGCTACTGCAGTAACCGGGACTAGAGATGATGGTGGCTTGGGCAAGCATGGGGACAGTGGTGGTGGTTGGATTTGGGTTATAACTAAAAATAGAGCCAGATGGGCTTGCTGACAGATCAGGTGTAAGGAAAAGAGAGGAGTAAGAGGTGAACTTTTGCTCTTGGCCTGAGTCCCTTGTGGGGATGGCTGGTGCTGTTTACAGAGATATGGAAGACTGGGGGCAAAATAGGGCTGGAGGCTGAGTGGAAGATCAGGAGTTCAATTTTGTACATATTAAGTTTGAGGTGCCTAGTAGATATTCAAGCAGAGATGTTGAGAAGATGGTTGAAGAAGTTTGGAGTTTAGGGAAGCAGTCAGACCTTATGATATAAAATGGAGAGTTCCCAGATGTAATTAAAAGTCATAGGACTGAATGAAATAGAGAAAAGAAGAGATTCGAGGACTGATCCCTGAGGCATTCTAACACATAAAAGTCAGAAAGATGAAGAGGATCCAGCAAAGGAGACTGAGAAGAAGTAGTCAGTAAAGTAGGAGACCATCCAATTATGTGTGAAGAAACTCTTTTAAGAAGGAGGGAGTGATAAACCGTGTCCAATATACTGAAAGGTCAGGTAAGATGAAGACTGAAGATGGCCACTGGATTTGGCAAGATGGAGGGCCATTGGTGATGCTGACATAAATGGCCTCAGTAGAGAGGCAGGGGTGGAAGTCTGATTGGAGTGGGGTCAATGCAGAACGGGACAAGGGGTGAAAAAGAAGTGACAATTAATACAGAAAACTCTTTTGAGGTGTTTTGCTATACGGTTGCAAAGAAATGGAACAATAGCTAAAGGGCAAGTATGGAGTGAGGGAAATTTCGTTAGAGTTCTTTCAGCATGTTTATCAATGGGAATGATTGAGTAGAGAGGGGAGAATTGATGGTGTAGGAGACAGGGAGAATAATTACAGGATAGAAGTCCTTGTGGGAAAGGGTAGATGTTTTTTAATACCAAGTGGAGAAACTTGCCTTAGATAGTAGGGTCATTCATCCCCTCCTGGGTCTGCTGCCTTATTTATAAAATAAGGTAGTAGAATGGAGAGCTGACAAACATACATTCTCTCTTTTAATCTTCTTAATCATCTTATAAAGTAGGTACTGTTATCCCCATTTTACAAAGGAGGAAACTGAAGCTTTTATAAATTAAGTAGTTGGTCCTAAGCAATGCAGTTAGTAGAGATGAGATTCAACCTGAAAACAGTGACCTGGAGTGCTGCCACACTGTAGTGTCTACTGGGCAGGAGGGCAAGGTGGCTGAATCTCTCCTTCTCAGCAGTCCAGGTGGCCATGCAGAAGGCCCAGTATCGCAGTGGATGGGACTGAGCTTGTACCTTCATGTTACTCCCCCTGAGCAGCACCTAGCTATGACACTCTTCTCCAGAGACTGTGGCACCCCCTGATGGCAGACAGTTAGCGGTGGTACAGTAACCATTTCTAGGAGTGTAAGTAGCTGAAAACTTGCATATCCTGCTGGCATAGGGGGCACAGTTAGACTCCCAATCAAGCTAGACTGGAAGCCCTGGTGTGATAATTGTCCAGGTGGCAAGTGCCAGAGTAGGCTTGACTCAAATACATAGTCGTGATAGCAAGACTGAAATGCTTACCACTGCAAGCTAATGAAATGTTTCTTTTGTAGACTTACTGTCCTGTGAGTGAAGACAGGACAAGTACATTGAAAGACTTCTTGGAAAGGCTAAAGACGATCATGAAGGAGAAATATTCAAAGTGTGGAAGAAGAATATTTTAATTTATGAGTTTTTAATAGCTTTATTTTTAAAATATTTATATATTTATAACTCATCATAAAATAAAGTATATGTAGAATTCTGATGGTGTGACATCACTTTAATGGTATTGGCTATATTTACTTGACAAATGAAGTTATGGTTTGTAACTTTTGGGAAAACCAATTTAATTTACTGAGAGACTACAATTGGTGTGGGCTCCTGGGGAGCAAAAAAGGAAAGACCAATTCCCTCTTGAGACGCCCCCTCTCTAGTTAGGGACACAATGCATGAAATGATTAAATAACACAAGGCCACATGTGATGTAAATAGTAAGTAAGAGAACTTGCAGAACAAGTCCCTGAGTCCTACTGACTACCATATATTTCTGAATCCAAAAGGTTATCAACTGGGTGCTTAGAACACTCTCCTCCAATGGCACAAGGGCTGTTACACTGAGTCTGTAGAAAACAAATGTAATCCTAGTACCTTACGAGGCTCTTCAGTGAACAATACCTGAAGTCATTAGATAATAATGTAAAATCTGTTGATTCTTAAGTCTTAGAATGGGCCAAAAGGCAAAGCTTAGAAGACTAATTATGGCTATGGAGCCCTGGTGGCACAGAGGTTACAGCGCTCAGATGCCAACCAAAAGATTGGTGGCTCAAACCCACCAGCTGCTCCACAGGAGAAAGACGTGGCAGTCTGCTTCGGTAAAGATTTACAGTCTTGGAAACCCTATGAGGCAGTTCTACTCTGTTCTACAGTCAGTGTATAGTCTCATGTCCTACAGACTATGAGTCGGATTATAGAGCAGACTATAACAATATTAAAGATATGGCTGAAAATCGTTGGGAGGAAAAAGCAGAAGTAAAGAAGGAGAGGTGGAGCATGAATACCCTCAGCTTACATGAGGAGGTTAGTTAAGCAGTACTGTCTAAGGCTGATGCAGCAAAACTAGAGATTTAAGTATTTATTTACAACTGGAAGGGTAATAGAAAAACTAAAAATAGTGTACTAAAAAGTTTGAAAGAGTATGAGCTACATCGTCATTTTTCAATAGGGAAATCAACAGATAACATCTTAAGACAATAAATCAAAAAAATGAGTTGGTAAGAGTGGTTTTGAGTGGATTGCTGTAGCTGGGGATGGGAACGTGGGGGTTCATATTACTCTGCTTTTAAAAATGTTTGCAAGTAATAAAAAGTAAATGAAACATAAAAATAAGGAAAAACAATAGTAAGTGAATCAAGAAATCTTTCAAATTATAATGGTAACCACTGGAAAAACAAAAAAAGGTGGTTTGCTGTGAGAATGGGACTTGGAATAAGGAGGGGTGAAGCAGGTCAGGAGACTGTTGGCATTCCACTGCAAGGCTGTGTGTGTGTGTTTTGCCATGTGTATGAATAATCAAATGTTTTTAAAAATTAAAGGAGAACTAAAATAAAAAAGAGACAATACCAAGTGTGGCAAGGATGTGGGAAAAATTGGAATCCCCATACATTGCTGGTAAGATTGTAAAACAGTGCAGACATTCTGGAAAACAATTTAGCAGTTCCTCAAAAAGTTAAACATAGTTACCATATGATCCAGCAATTCTACTCTAGGTATATACTCAACAGAACTGAAAATATATGCCCACACAAAAATCTCCACATGAATGTTCATGGCAGCATTATTCATAATAGCCAAAAAGTGGAAACAACCTGAATGTTCACAACTGATAAATGAATAAACAAAATGTGGTATTATACGTACAGTGGACTATTATTCAGCAAGTAAAAACAAATGAAGTACTGATATATACCATGACAAGGATGAACTTTGCAAATACTGTGCTAAGGTAAAGAAATCAGACACAAAGTACCATGTATTACATGATTCCATTCATATAAAATGTCCAGAATAGGCAAATTTATAGAGACAAGGAAAACTAGTGGTTTTCAGGGGCTGGGGGCAAGAGGGAATGGGGAGTGACTGCTAATGGGTAGGGGTTTCCTTTGGGGTTATGAAAATGTTCTGAAATTTAATAGTGGTGGTGGTTGTGCAACTCTCTGAATATACTAAAAACCACTGAATTATATATTTTCAAAGAATGAATTTTGTAGTACGTACAGGCATACATCGTTTTATTGCATTTTGTTTTATTACACTTCACAGATATTGCATTTTTTTTTACAAATTGAAGGTTTATAGCAACCTCTTGTGGAGTAAGTCTATCAGCGCCATTTTTCCAACAGCATGTGCTCACTTCGTGTCTCTGTGTCACATTTTGGTAATTCTCACAATATTTCAAACTTTTTCATTATTATTATACCTGTTACGGTGATCTGTGATCAGCGATCTTTGTTGTTACTGTTGTAATTGTTCTGGGGTGCCACGAGCTGTGCCCATATAAGATGACGAACTTAATTGATAAATGTTGTGTGTGTTCTGACTGCTCCGCCAGTCAGCTGTTCCCCATCTCTCTCCCTCTCCTCGGGCTTCCCTATTCCCTGAGACACGGTGTGATGGTTAAGATTGTATGTCAACTTGGCTAGGCCATGATTCTCAGTTTTGGCAGTTGTATAATATTGTGATCTTGTCCCTGTTGAAATTTGATATGTGATCACCTCTATGATGGAATCTACTGAGTGGCACCAGCAGGGACAGGGCCTGTGGTGGCTCACCGCCCCCTCAGCCTTCAGCTGTCTGCCCTCCGCTGGCTACTTCCTTCCTGCTAGCCTTGCCAAGGTTTTTTTGGCTTGTTCCAGATCCAGCAGCTGCCTCTTGTCATCTCACCTCTGGTTCTTGGGACTTGAGCTAACATCTTACCTGCAGATCTTGGGATTCGTTGACCTTCACAGCCTGCGAGCAAGAGTGCTGCTCCCCAATCCGCTGATCTTGGGTTCGCCAGCCCCTGCAGCTACATGAATCAGGAGAAACCTTGCAGTCTTGCCTGCCTATCTTGGAATTCGTTGACCTTCACAGCCTGTGAGCGGGAGCCCTTCTCTCCAGCTTGCTGATCTTGGGTTCGCCAGCCTCTGCAGCTGCGTGAATTGGGAGAGGCCTCTACCTTGATCCATGGACTTGGGACATTCTAGCCTCTACCGTCACGTGAGCTGTTTCCTTGATATAAATCTTTCTCTCTGTACATTTATTCGCTTTACTGATTTTGCTTCTCTAGAGACCCCAGCCTAAGACACGTGGTAATATTGAAATCAGGCCAATTAATAACCCTACAATGGCCTCTAAGTGTTTAAGTGAAAGGAAGAGTCCTACGTCTCTTACTTTAAATCAAAAGCTAGAAATGATTAAGTTCAGTGAGGAAGGCATGTTGAAACCCACGATAGGCCAAAAGCTAGCCTTCTTGCACAGAACAGTTAGCTAAGTTGTGAACACAAAGGAAAAGTTCTTGAAGGAAATTAAAAGTGCTACTCCAGCAAACACACAAATGATAAGAAAGTGAAACAGCCTTATTGCTGATGTGGAGAAAGTTTTAGTGGTCTGGATAGAAGATCAAACCAGCCACAATGGTCCCTTAAGCCAAAGCCTAATCCAGAACAAGGCCCTAATTCTCTTCAATTCTATGAAGGCTGAGAGAGGTGAGAAAGCTGCAGAAGAAAAGTTTGAAGGTAACAGAGGTTGGTTGGTGAGGTTTAAGGAAAGAAGCCATCTCCACAACATAAAAGTGCAAGCTGAAGCTGCAAGTGCTGATGTAGAAGCTGCAGCAAGCTATGCAGAAGATCCAGCTAAGATAACTGATGAAGGTGGATACACTAAACAACAGATTTTCAGTGTAGATGAAACAGCTTTATATTGGAGGAAGATGCCATCTAGGACTTTCATAGCTACAGAGAAGTCAATGCCTGGATTCAAAGCTTCAAAGGACAGGCTGGCTCTCTTGTTAGGGGCTAATGCAGCTGGTGACTTTAAGTCAAAGCCAATGTTCATTTACCATTCCAAAAATCCTAGGGCCCTTAAGAATTATGCTCAATCTTCTCTGCCTGTATTCTATAAATCAAACAACAAAGCAAGGATGATAGCACATCTGTTTACGACATGGTTTACTAAATATTTTAAGCTCACTGTTGAGACTTGCTGCTCAGAAAAAAAGATTGCCTTCAAAATATTACTGCTTATTCATAACGTACCTGGTCACCCAAGAGCTCTGATGGAGATGTACAAGGAGATTAATGTTGTTTTCATGCCTGCTAACACAACATTCATTCTGTAGCCCATGGATCAAGGAGTAATTTTGACTTTCAAGTCTTATTATTTAAGAAATCTATTTTGTAAGGCTGTAAGTGCCATAGGTACTGATTCCTCTGATGGATCTGGGCAATGTAAATTGACAAACTTCTGGAAAGGATTCGCCATTCTAGATGCCATTAAGAATATTTATGATTCTGAAAACCTAGAGGAAGTGGACAAATTTCTAGAAACTCAATACCTACCCAAACTAACAAGCAGAGGTAACACAACTAAATAAACCCATAACAAAAGAAGAGATTGAAAAGGTAATTAAAAAACTCCAACAAAAAAAAGCCCTGGGCTTCATGGTTTCTCTGGAGAATTCTACCAAACTTTCAGACAAGAGTTAACACCACTACTACTAAAGGTATTTCAGAGCATAGAAAAGGATGGAACACTCCCAAACTCATTCTATGAAGCCATCATAACTCTGATACCAAAACCAGGTAAAGATAACACAAAAAAAGAAAATTACAGACCAATATCCCTCCTGAACACTGACACGAAAATCCTCAACAAACTTCTAGCCAACATATCAAAAAAATAATTCACCATGATCAAGTGGGATTTATACCAGGTATGCAGGGATGGTTCAACATTAGAAAAACAATCAATGTAATCCATCACATAAATAAAACAAAAGACTAGAACCACATGATCTTATCAATTGATGCAGAAAAGGCATTTGACAAAGTCCAACACCCATTCATGACAAAAACTCTCAACAAAATAGGAATAGAAGGGAAATTCCTCAGTATAATTAAGGGCATTTATACAAAGCCAACAGCCA